TTTTCCGGAGGGACCCGTCCCTGGAGAAGGACAGCATGCTTGGTAAAGTCGAGAAGTGAAAACGAGGAAGACCCTCAGCGAAATGGATTTACACAATGGCTGCTAGGATGAGCTGGAACCTAGCAGCAGTTGTGAGAAGGGCACAGGACCAGTGCTTCCTTCTGCACCCAGGTGGTGATGATGCGCCCAAACCGACTTGAAGGCACCTGGCACCACACACTAGTCATTCTGGTGGGTGAAGAAATGACAGGTTCCTAAAACAATCACTGCACTCCTGGTCTGCATATGGCAGTATTCACACCCGTGTTACTAATGAGAAAACGGATTCACGGTACATAAGGAACACTTGGGTGGAGCTGAAATTAAAGCCTAGTCTATAGGGCCTAAATGCTTAGAGATGTCTAGTATGTTACAGTCCGTTTTAAGATGTATTTGCCAAGGAGCTTCAGGAGGGAACATTTTTAGGGTTTTCAAAAGGCTCGCTGTGAATAGCATTCCTAAAATGAATGAACTGTTTGGGCATCTATTACCTGATGCCTACAAGCCTGGGTAGTTTATTAATTTTTAAAACAAAGGATATAATTATACATGGTTATCAAAATAGCTAAGAGGTAGTTGGAGGGGGTACTATTGAGACCCAATTTTTATAAGTAGTAAAATGGACTAAATATGGACCAAAGGACATAGAGTATAAGCAGATTGATTAAATGTATTCCTGAAGTGAATCACTGGATAACTTGTGAGAAATGTTTAAATCTGTCTTAAAATATATCAAAAGAGACAAAAGAGAAGCCCAATGTGTCCATCATTTTCCTTATGAGAAAAAGCACAGTCCTTTTTAAAAAATGCTTTAAACCAACTTTTGTGAAGTATCATGCAGTCCACTGCTTCATAAGTGGACGTGTAAAGGTTATAGAGCACTGAACCACGGTGCTATCCAGATGCAAGAATCATTGCTGGGGGATTCCATGGAATGGCAAGGCGCTGGTCGCTAAATCAAACAAAGACTATAGATGCATTTGTACCAAGTGTACCTCGTTTTTAAAATCTTTAAAAAAGAAAAAAAGTTAAGTGGCGCTGCCTCCCCAGTGTGGTTGCTGTGGGTGTTGTGTGTGAATGACATTAGGGAGTCCATATTTTTCATCAACTCCACCACCACCAAACTTCGACCCTAGTCTGAGCCACCATGATGTCTCACCTGGCTTACTGCAATAGCTTCCTCCCTGCCCTGGCTCCCCTACAGATTAGTCTCAGAACTGGATCAGAGAGCTCCTTTGAGAATTAGCGGAGAGCAACTTTTTTTAATGTCCCATGTAGTAGACCTAAAATATAGAAGAGAAAAGAAAAGAAAAAATAGAAGAGAAAAGAAAAGAAAATTAGAGCAACTGTCCCAAGAGCCCATGTGACTGACAGGCATTTCCAGAAACAGAACATCTAGAACATGGCAGGACATAACATATGAAACCCCCTTAGGATCAAAGGGAGTGGGGCTTCAGATTGGAAAAAGCTACTGAGCACAAGCCAGTCACTATCGAAAGAGGTCACACACCACACACCAAGGGTCAAGTGCCAGCCTGCCATTGGCATTCTCCACAGTGACATAGCCAGCGGTAAGAAATTAGAGATCCTCTCTCCTAAACAGAGACATCACTTTCAACCTAGGATCCTCTGCTTCAAATAATTCTTATTCCAGCATGCTGTTCTTGTGTGCCTTCAAGTTGATAACTCATAACGGCCTGAGAGGACAGAGTAGAACAGCCCCAAAGGGGTTTCAAGGCAGTAGTCGTTACCAGAGTAGATCGCCAAGTCTTTTCAATTCCCTGTGGAGTCATTGGTGGGCACAAACTGCCAACCTCTCAGGGAGCAGGTAAACAGTTATCCATTGTGCACCAGGGTTCCTTTGATCAAGCATACTCTTTTTTTTTGGGGGGGGGGTCACACATGAAGTTTCAAGAAAACTCTTGTCTGTCTTTTCTTGAGAATTTTCTGTAGCATATGTTCCATGCCATGAAGGCAAGTTTAAAAAACAAACAAATTCATTGCCATCCATCAATTCTGACTCCTAGCAACTTTCTAGGACGGGGGAGAACTGCCCCTGTGGGTTTCTGAGACTGTGCCTCTTTAGGGGAATAGAAAGCCTCCTCTTTCTCCCAAGGAGCAGCGGATGCTTTGGAATTGCTGACCTTGTGGGTAGCAGCCGCCTGTGTAAGCACTAGACCACTGGGCCTTCTGTCTTTACGGCAGTATCCAAAAATAAGGAGTACTAGGATAGGCAGCACAGAATCCAGGACAGGAGGGAAGTAAAGTGAATTCACAGAATGAAGGCAAAAGGTCCTATAGAAACAGCTCCATAGCAACCCCAGAGCAGTTTGTACTATTCTTATTATCAGTTGGATAACAAGAAAAAAATTATTCTAGTGAGACTAAGAACATTTGAAAATTACCCTTACACTATGTTTAGAGGTAAACTTCACAGAATGTTTAGCCAGAGATTATTATACATAAAAATTAGCATTAGTGGTCCTTATATAACTTATTTTAACTTACAAACATTCAAAGTAGGGCAATGGAGAAATTATGGCATAGGATCGGTACAGAGATGTGAGTCAAATGCCCAGTGTTGTACCTACCTGGTAACTTTATGAAATTTTTCCAAGCATCTTTTTAAAATCTTACAATGACCTTGTAAAAAGACTAATTGTTATTATTTTCATTTTATAGATAAAACACTACATTCATAAAAGCTATATAAATGCCCAAGTTCATGGCCGAATAAAGTAGATGTCAGAATAAAGATTCAGAGATTGGTCTTCTGCTTTCAAGGGCAGACCCTCAAATTTTCCATGAAGGATATCATTAAACTGGCTGTAAACAGAACTACAATAAATAGCACAAATTGCTACAAAATAGAGTACAAACTGAGATAAAGAAGCAATTACAATAATACAAATGTGGAGGCATTTACCTGTTATTAAACTAATAATGGTCCCCACGAGTATGGTTACCAAAGTCCCAAGGGTACTGAAGTAGAGATATGATAAGGAATACCAGTTATCCATCAGTGGAGTCCTAAGAGAGAGCAAAGTCACAATTACAACATCTCATCTAATGCTATTAGAACTCGTGACAAAGTTAAGATAGACTATTTAATAATGTTCAACGTGTCGCTATCTCGTGTCCCCGTTTTATCCTAGCGGATCAGGGAAGCACTGGCGCAGAGACAAGACTGAAAGTGGCACAAGATGAGGGGCAGGCAGAGGTGTCCTTGCTGGGCTCGGGATGGGTTTCTGCTGTGCTGTAAGGGTAATGACGTCAGAGGCAAAACTACAGAAAATAGTGTCTAGGCGAAGACTGTCCAAACACTTGACACCCATCTTTTAGAGAACTTTCCAACCAACTCAAGAATAAGTCAAGTTCATGAAGCTTTGAGTTCACACATGATGGCACCGTGTGAAAACGATAGGTGCGCTTTCCTTGCTCTCACTGATGAAAAGTGGTCTATGAGATTCTCAGTCATTTTCTCCCACTTTCCTCTTGCTACGCTCAGCAGAGCAAGCTCACAGTCCGCCTGGACCAGGGGAGGCGCTCAAATTTGAAACTAGTAGTTTCAACTTGCCAAATGCTGTCTCACCACGGATGATGGAAACGGACCTTTATAGAAATTGCTCCGTGGCACCTCCCTGCAAGTGGCACCCAAGAAATGGCCCATACTTACCTGCCTCAGCCACACCTAGAATGATGTGCATTGTGGTATTTGTGATCGAACCAGTTTTTGTTTTGCTTTACGTTGGCTCTGGGATCTCACTTTCATGGTTACAAAGAGTGGCTTAATTTATTAGACCAACTATCCTATCAAGAAGAATATCGAGAAACATGGGAGTAGGGGATGTTTGAAGGCATCAGATTGATCAGGACAATGAAATTCTGAGAGGCCACGAACCCAGAGAAGAGAAACGCACTTGAGTTGAATCTGGTTTCTGCTTGGGGTAGTGACAATGTTTTGAGGAAAAAGAGAGTGCTGTAACATGGGTAGTGTAACTCTGCCCATGTCATTAATGCCACAGAATTGCCCAAGTAAGCTTGGGTACATGGAAGTTTGTGTTACACGATTGTGGTATTTTACCACAATTTTTTAGGTATCCGGAGTGCTCTGTCTTTAGCGTAATTTTTAAAAAATGACATTATAATACTTAAGTCAATACCTTACAGGGTTGTGTACTTGGAAAGCACTCGTAGAAAAAGGCATCTCTGTGGTTGTCAACAAATCCGTCGCATTGTGGGTGATGTTACAGCCATAGGTTTCCAGGCTTAATGGCAAAGTTCTCTCTGGAAGCGGTGGATAGAGTTGAGCTCCAATCCCAACCCACAAAGAAATGGCAAAGCCAGCCATCAGACCAACAAGGGCTCCCTGCAAAACAACAGTGTTTTTTAAAAGAAAAGTAATAGTCCACTTTGAGATGCAATTTCACATGGAAAGGTTAAGCTCAACTTGGTCCAGCTTCCCCCTACACTACTACCCTTCCCAAGATCCGTCTCTGCCTCATGGCATGGCATTCAATGCACCGAAGGGTTTCTCAGGCCAGAGCCCTGAAGATTATGTAACCACATGTCCTTTTTCATATATTCATTCAGCCAATTATCAATCTCTGTCTGTTTTGCATTTCAATTATCTCATGCTCCCATTTGTTCCACTGTTTCCAGGGCCAGCAACATGTTCTGGCCTCTTTGTCTCTTCACACCTTAGTAATTAAACAACCTTGTAGTTGACTCCAGACTAATTATTCTCTCAATTTGTATTTAATCTGTGAACATATACGTCATGCCATCTGATCAACAGAATATTAAAACAGAAAGTACACATAGAGTCTCTCTCTATGGAAGACTGCAATTGGGCTATCAGTCAATAAAGAAAAAAAAAATAGAGGACCTGATGCCGGGGGCTTAAGTGGAGAGCAAATGTTTTGAGAATGATGAGGACAATGAATGCACAAATGTGCTTTACACAATTGATATATGTATGGACTGTGATAAGAGTTGTATGAGCCCCTAATAAAATGATTAAAAATAAATAAATAATAATAAAAAAGACACATCATCTCCAAAAAAGAAAAAACCCAACAGATTTTTCAAACGGCTCCCATAGTCCACACAACGAAAGTACCAGTCCTTCTACGGAGGGAGATGGTGACAGGAGAAGGTGGCGAGCCAACCTCGCCATACGCATTTGACGTTCTAATCTTGGAAGACTCGGGTCCCTCCCTTTTCACTAGCAATCTAGGGGTTCTTCCAGGCCTTGAATAATGTAAGCCCTATTCCCTGGAGTTAGGAAATTCCTTCCTCCAAGGTGAAATTCCCTTTCTTCATTTAAGGACAATGATCAGACAGGGCAACCTGAGCCCCAGACTCTAGATGAAAAAGAGCTGAGAGATGAAATCACGTTGTTGTTGGGTGCCATCAAGTCAGCTCCAACCCACAGAGACCGTATGCCACACAGGATGAAATACTGCCGAGTCCTGTGCCTGCACACTTGTTCCTCTGCTTGAGCCCATTGTTGTGAAACCATAGGACAGGAAAAACAATGATGTGCTGATGGGAGAGCGAGACGGCTGCTGACCAGATGGGAGGCGTCAGATTTCAGGGCAAGGAAGGTCTGTAAACTCTTGCATGGAGGTGAGATCTTGACATCAGAGCATTCATTTTAGGTGCCCTAGCACTTACCCCCAAACCAAAACCCAAACGCACGGCCATTAAGTCATTGCCAACTTAGAGTGAGCTTCGGAGGCTGTAACTGCGTACAGGAGGAGAAAACCCTGTCTTCCTCCCAGGGAGCAGCTGGGGGGTTCAAACTGCAGACCTTGCGGATCACAGCCCAGGGCTCTCACACTGAACACGGGCATAGACATGTAACAGCTGCACAATGTTTTTGAGTAATCTGAGGCTACATTGGCAGCGCGGTCAGCTGGTGCTCTGCTCAGCTGCACACATAGCTGGACCAAGAACTTAGTGTCCTGGTGGCACAGTGGGGAAGTACTCTGCTGCCAATCAAACGGTTGACTATTTGAACACGCCTACACCTCGTCCGAGTCCTTGGGGCTCTGTGGGAGAAAGAGGGGGCGTTCTTCTCCTGTAAACAGGTACAGTCTTGGAAACTCACTGGGGCATTTCCACGCTGACCTAGAGGGTCGCTATGAGTTAGCATCAACTCGATGGCAGTGTTTGTTTTTGAGGTTTTTGTACCACTTTGTAGGAGAATGACGTACTAGTTTGCTTCCATAAAGATTTACAGCCTTAGAAACACTCTGAACAAATCTGTTCCATCCAAAAGGGTTGCTATGAGACGGCAGTTAGGGGGATTGGGGATCCATGGAACCATAAACTCCACCAGGGCAGCGGAAATAGTGCTTGCTAATCTGATGAGTGTTCAGCATATCTTTTTTTTCCTCTTTCTTTCTTTCTTTCTTTCTTTCTTTCTTTCTTTCTTTCTTTCTTTCTTTCTGTAGTGTTTACATGTTGGGCTGCTAACTCAAGGTTCACTGTTCGAAACCACCAGGTGCTCCTGGAAAGAGTTTCAGTTGGGCCTCAACTCAATGACAGTGAGTTTAGTTTGTGAGTTTGTTATGATATGAAGGGTACCCATAGTGCCACCCCCCCCAAAAAAAGAATGAAAATAAAACCAAAAATGATTATCATCATCATGAGCTATCTCTATTAAACTTATGTCAGCAAGTTTAATAAACCATCTCTCTCCCTACAGGTAAGCTTTCTGCAAACTAGTCTAACTCTTGGTAACTCTTCAGACAGGGATTATGGGAGGAACCGGTGCTACAACTAAATCAGCAAGCTAAGGGGTCAACCTTGCGGTGTGGGGGAGCATTAATCTTGGATGTCCTAACTTGACAAACCCACAAATAGATGCTGAAATTAAACTCTAAATGATCTATCGTTTTGCCTATGTAAAATCTCAACTGAGGAAGTTCCCAACAGGAAATAGGCAACATTGTTCCCATGTGCAATGTTTCAGATAACTGTAATCACAATAGGTCTCACACTGGGAGAACAATAAATACACACCCCAGGCAAAGGGAGATGCCGAAGATTTCCAAATGCAGAGTTATTCATGTAAAAGGAGTTGTTTGCCACTACTCAGACAGTCCGAGTTCTTAGAAAACCCCACTCACTGCCATCCAGTCGAAGCAATTCACAGCAACCCTCTAGAGCGGGTGGACATGCTCCCTGCGAGTTTCCAAGACTGAAACTGAACAGGAGTGGAAAGCTTCATCTTTCTCCCCTGGAGAGGCTGGTGGTTTCAAAGTGCTGACCGTGCAGTTAGCAGCCAGTGTGTAGTAACCACACGCCACCAGGGCTCCTGGCAGAGAGGTCTGGAAAGAAGCAAAGCCCTGAGCAATCCGAACAAATGAAGAAATGGTGGCCTCTGGTGGACAGATGGGTTTTTTTAATGGACATTTCAAATAAATTTTATCGGAGTTTAATGATTCTAATTTAAGAAACTCACAAACCAGAATCCTTAAATGGTGTCTAGGCAGTCACATTTAGTACTAAGAACAGGACCCAAGGGACATTGTAAGACATGACAAAATAATAATTTATAAATTATCAAGGGTTTGGGAAGGAGGGGAAAAGTGATGAGCTGACACCAAGGGCTCAAGCAGAAAGCAAATGTTTGGAGAATGATGAAGGCAACAAACGTACAAATGTGCTCGACACAATCGACGGATGTATGGATTATGATAAGAGTTGTACGAGCCCTCAAGAAAATGATTGTAAAAAAATAAAAATCCATTAACCTTCCAAAAAGAAGAAGAACAGGACCCAAAAGTCTTTAATTCTAGTATACCAACTTCTGCTTTAAATATTCTAAAACCAGACTCTCTGCTAAGTCAATGCTGGCTCATAGTGGGTTTCTAAGACTGTAACTGTTTACAGGAGTAGAAAGCCCAGTCATTCTTCCTAGGAACTGTTGGCTGCTTCAAACTGTCAACCGTGAGGATTGCAGCCCAACACATAACCACTACACCACCAGTGCTCCTTCAAGGTGCTAGAATTTCAGAAGACAAAACGGTGCCCTGAAGGTGCTGGAACCAGGAAAGGTGTGCACAGATGAGCAAGATGCAAAGAAAGCAGCTGCTGCAACAGGCAACAGCCCACAGGGAAAGCCAGCGGGCGTCCTGCAGGTGTCTGCACGTCACTGCTGCTGAGTTTGCAAACAGGAGCCCTGCAGGCAGAGGGCGCCGGCACTGCACTGCTCACCCCGAGATCAGCCCTTCACACCCGCCAGCAGCTCCTCCAGAAACACAGGAGGCGGTCTGCTCCTGTGAAGATGGAAAGTCTCCGAAGGCCGACGGGACAGTTCTCCCCTGGCCTGTGGGGTCGCTGCGACTTAGCATTGACTCGATGGCAGTGAGGTTGGCTGGTTTGGTTTTTTTAATTTGACAGTTCTAAGACCTTCGGAGGAGAATGGAATACAGAACATCAGGTCCCGTGGTTGTTCGATGTCTGACCAGAACAATCATACACACATCACACATTTTCCCTGAACTGTAACACAAGCAGATGTATCTGTAGAGATAGGAATTCCAATTCTGATCGCTGCTTTGAGGATCGAGCCAGATTAGGGGAGCTATAGTATGAAGTCTCAGGAGTGGAAACTTTCTAGTTAAATCTATTGCTTTATTTTGCTGTAGCCGGACTCTTATTGTCTTCAGTCTCTCCTCTTTGAGCCTGTCAATCTCTTTCTTTAAATTCTAGCAATTCATGTTTAAAGGAAGAAGCTAAATGCACACACCCCCACCCAAAAGTTGCTGCTTTAATTATAAGTATTTTAAATCCCATGATATATTTTTGTCAGTTTCCATTTACCGTCCCGCCCGCCAGGTCCCAGTGCCCAGCACTTGCTCACCCTAGCAAAGGCAGTGAGTAATTTACAATGGCATCTAGAAAAGTCACTAGTGACCGAGCTCAAAAATACTGTAACTTTAAAACGGAGAAGAACAAAAATGCAGAGCTGCTACTATAGCTGGGAACGTACACTTTACATGTATATTCATTCTTTATACTTACAACTGAGTTGGCAACAGGAACCAAAATGCCCAGAGAAAACAATCCCAGAAGTGGTCCGCCTACCATGCCAAAGATGCTGAGTGCTGCCTGCAAAAATGGTAGGAATTTAGAGATGAGTGATCTTAAATCCAAAGTTAAAATATTTCAAAGTAATTGCATCAAATTAGAGGTTTTAAATATCCAGTTCCTCCTGGAAATTATGACAGCTTTGTCGTTGGCCAAGGGGTAATTAAAAATGGGAAGCTCTTCAGTCTCGAGCAGCTATTTCTTCCTTGAATTATCACCCCAAAAAAGGCAGTAAAAGGGGGGAAAGGTAGAGATTCCCAATAAATGGGAGTACCTATTGAACACTCTACATGAATGCATGAGTGAAAATTGGCTCCATGCCTCTCAACCTTATTTTTTCAGGCATGAATAATCAATCACAGGCTTCCTATGTATTTGGGGGAGTTTCAAATCCTCCTCCAAACAAGATTGCAGTGGAATAAAGTTTAGTGTCCAGAGATGGCAATGAAACTCATTACTCTATCTGGTTTGATGCTCTAAGAATTGAACTAGCACCTAAAAATATGCTCTTTTTAAAAAGATCAAATTTTTGGTGAAAGATTGAAAGCCTCCCACTAAAATCAGCAACAAAGCAAGCATATAGGCTATGACCACTCTTATTCAATGTAATACTGGAACTTGTAACTAAAGCAATGAGATAGGAAAAGGAAATAAAAGGCATACAGATAACAAAGGATAAATAAAATGTAGAACCATGTGGAAAGCACTCCTTCCAACAACTGGCAATAGAAATTACAGAGGGTCAAAAAAAAAAAAAGGAAAGAAATGACATAGGGTCTAGCAAGAGCGCTGCAGGGTATTGAACACTGAAGGAGTGAAAGCCATACCACACACAGATTGCTGCACTCCATGTTCACTGCCGAGTAATGTTCACAATGGCAAGAAGTTGGGAAAAACCCAAATGCCCACCCGCAGAAGAATGGACAAAGGAACTTTGGTACCTGCACACAATGGAATGCTCTGCATGGCTAAAAAACAAGAATAAAACCACCTAACACCTCATGACATGGCCGGACCCGGAGAACATTATGTTGGGCCAAGGTAGTCGATCACAAAAGGAAAAATATTGTATGAGACCACTATGATACGGATTAAAAAAGACAAAATGTATATACCAAAGAGAACAGACTTTGGATATTCCCAAGAGAGGACGACAAGGGTGGGAAAAAGAAGCAAAAACTGGGAGGTTGACAGGCATTGACTTGGATGAAAGAGAAGGTGAATATTCAAAAGAAGGAGAAGAGAAATTGGGTGGGAGGGAGGTGGGATAGAAGGGGGAGTGGGGTTGATGAGTGGTTTGAACTATTGAGTGCAGGCTTGATGGTCTGAAATGTAAACCCCTCACCAAATTTACGAAAATAAACCCATCAAAAAGACACCTGTCCCTATTGACAGAAGATATGATTGCGTAGAAAACCTAAGTGATATAAGAGTACAAAAATTCCAAAACTATGGAGTTCATCAAACTCACAGGCTGCAAGTTAAATGTACAAAGAACAATTTCTTTTCTCTACAGGCAGCCTCCAGGTTATAAACATTGAATTTATGGACAACTTCTACCTGCCCTGTAATGCCAGGCTTTGAATGAGTTCTGTCATGGTTGATAGGAACAGATCAGATTCTTTAAAATTTGGCTGATTTATCACATTAACCCCAAATTGGAAAAATGACAAGTCGATTCCTGGAACGAAAGACTTAGAAGAGGCCAACTCAGCCCTTTCAGGAGCCGACTACAGGATATAGTTGGCAGGGCCATGAAGAGTCACAAACATTCAAACTAATACGGTTGACCGCCATCTTTGAGTGGAGAGCCACCCACAACAAATTCTTCCTCAAACTCATCTTCACTTGCTGCATGTGCAACTTTTAAATGATTGAAAAGTCTTGAAGTTTAGTTATAAAGCTTCATAAGAACTGTAAGCACCTGTTCTGACTCCCCTGCAAATTCTGAAAGACAACTTAGAACGGGCATTGTTCCCAGCCCAGGGACAACCTGAATATTCTCAATGGACACATGGACAGTAAGACTTAAAAATAGATATTATTATTTACAAGCACCTAAACAATGGTGTGCTTAGGTATTAGGATAACAAAACGTGCTGGATTTATATGTATGCTGAAAATTACACTAATGAAAGAAATCAGGGAAAGTCTAACAGAGATGTAGATATTCATGTATTGGAAGATTCAATGTAGTAAATAAAAAAGAGTTTTTGAGACATTCCTATTGAAGGAAACTACATAAAAGGTTTACAGGTTCTCTGTGGATTCTCTCTTGCAAGTGCCTGTGAATCTACAATTAACTCCAAAAACAAAAGTTTAATTTTAAAGGGTAAACAAAAATAAGAGAGAGGTAATTTACTCATCCCTGTCCTGTCATGTATTTATGCATAGATATCCACCGAAGAACATCTAGAAGGATGGCCACATTACTTTACCAACGTTATCGAGATTGACTCAAGCCATCATCTCTTACCTGTAACAGAGCTCCCATGAGTGAGGCCAGAGCAGCCATTCCAATGCACAGGGCTCCGTAGAGCACACCTTGATGGAGAAGGGACATGTCAGTGTGAGACCCGGGCCGTGAGCATTGAACTTCACAATAGAATACGTTGGTACGCCCAGGAAACACTGGGATGGCAGTGAAGAGTGCCTCACGCATGAAAGCCCTCAAACGGAGGGCGTTCTCCTCCGGGATGAAGCAGTGTGCAAAGAATACACATAAAACCCTATATTATGCCCTGGGATTAGTTACCGCAGTCGGTTATATAAGTAAAGAATGCCTAGAATTAACTGTGGGGATTTAAAAAGTAGGAACCATTGTGTCTTTTAATCTGATCCTTCTGTAAACATGTGTCTGTAAAGGGAAGCCAGGGTTTCTGTTTCCAGTCTACGGAAACTAAGACACGATTAAGCTCTGCTCTGTACAACAAGAAGCGGTGGAGGGTGACAAATGTTAGAGACTGGATTCTTGTCACTTCAGGTGCTCATTTCTCTGGGAAGTGGCAATGGCCGCAACAAAGCGTGGTTTGGAATCTTGCGTCCCCTCCATAACTTCCAACTGCACCCTCAAAGCTTCTCCTATTAAACTAATAAAGATAGCTTCAACACAAGCACTGTATTCTCCCTTCTACCAAACTGCTTTCCCCCAATCTCGTCATAGAAATTTTAGAGACACCATGGGTTTCCTGATTATGGGATCTCCCCACCCCCTGCCCTGGATCTTTTGACTTTCAATATTTTTCATCTTTTCCCCAGACTCATAGATTACTTTTTAAATTATAAGAAAATTTACCCAAACTAAACTTTATTCTTAAAGAATAGCCATTACTGTAGTAGAAATCACTTGAAAGTAGTCAATATCCAAAACTCAAACAGACAATTCAGAAAAATACATGAGAAATTTGTTCATCATAAAATTAAGTGTATTATTTATATTGTTATTGCTGTTTTACTTATACCAGCTCCCACCACACAAGGAGTCCTGGTGGCTTGTGGTATAAAGGGCTACACACGGAGGTGCTAAACACAAGCTCAATGGTTTTCTAATCCATTTCATGGTAGTGAGTGAGTGAGTGAGTGAGTACTCAAACATATCAGTGTTCAAGTATATTGGCTCAATAATTTTAGTGCACTTAAATAGAAATCCTTATATTAAATTTGCAAAGAGCTCTTGTGCTTCTCAGTGTTCATATAAATAGTATTTCCAACACAATTAGCTTCATTTCTCTCCATTTCATAGATCATTGAAAGATGACCCTTATGTTTCTGAATATTCAAAGTTAATGGAAGCACACTCAAATCATTTGCCATGTTCTCTATCCAGGGTCTTTACTGCAAATATATCAAGATAATGATTTTCTGCAACCCTTAACATAGCTGAAAGTCTAATCTCTACTAGCAGAGGCGATTTGTAATTAATCACCAGTATCAACATTGCTTGGACACTAACTAGTGCCCCTTGTTCCGTATGCATTATCGCTAAACCTTATAACAACCCTGTAAGATAAGTATTATTGTTCACACTTTTCCATGTGAAGAAGCAGAGGCTCAAATAAGTTATTGGGTTTTTTCAAGGCTATACAGCTAGGAGCCCTGGTAGGGTAATGATTACGTATTGAGCTGCTTAACACAAGGTGAGTAGTTCAAAACCATCAACTGCTCTGCGGGAGCAAGATGGGGGTTTCTATTCTGTGAGAGAGCTACTATCTTGGAAACCCACAGGTGCAGTCTCCCCAGTCCCATAGGATCAAAAGAGTCAGAATCAACTTGATGGCAGTGAGTGAGTGAGTGAGTGAGTGAGTGAGTGAGTGAGTGAGAGAGTGAGTGAATTACAGCTAGTACACTGAAAGAGCAGGAGTGGACCTGGCATCAAAAGCTCTGTCCATTCTGTAAGACCACAAGGTTCAGTAACCCTACAATAAACAATTCTAGTTACTCTTTAGAAAACACCACATCATTCTGAAATTGTGCTCCGGGATTAAACTGGGCACATAGTAAAATGATGCGTTGCCACTTAAATCTAGTGGGCACTGAAGACTATAAAAGAAGCCCTCGTGGTTCAAGGGGTGAAGAGTTGGGCTGCTAACCAAAAGGTCATCATAGGTTCAAACCCATCTGCCACTTGGCAGGAGAAAGAAGAGGCTGTCCGCTCTCAGAAAGATTGATACTTTCAGAATCCCCTTTCTGCCCTACAAGGGCATCATGAGTCAGAGATGACTTGATGTTAGTGAATTTGGTTTGGTTTG